TTTAGCAAAAAACCTGTCTGATCGACCAGTTAATTTTTTTTTCACCATATGGACATTTAAATATATACTACTTCATTCGTAAAATATAGGGGATTTCGTCAATGCATCTTCCATCCCAAATGGAAAAGTATCGTTTCATCCGTAACTCCGTATCAATTAACTCACTTTCAAAAGATAAAATAGTGCCCATATTTGGAAACCAGATCAATTGAAGGTACCCAGCTACAATTCCAAACAGAGATACATGAATGCACCAGTGAGCTACGGTACAACTAAATTAGATGACCTACGTCTTGAAGCTGACATCGTAGCAGGAAAAAAAACTAACATCGTTTTCATTTTAATTAGTTTATCTGGAGCTAGCACTGTTCTGGAACAGTGATACATGCATCTCGATGGATCATGTTCAGCTCCAGAAACATCTTTAATCACATGTGAAAGCTAGCCAGCTGCTAAGGTCAAATGGAAAAGCATGTTCAGCATCTACTAACAGATTTATGATTTTATCCCCACTAATTTCTTGTGTACTTTTTTAATATAATGACTACTACCTCTGTTCCAATATAAGTGTAATCTAGATAGACAGCTGTCCAGATTCATAGTTCTATAATAAGTCACATCTGTACTAGGTTGTATTTATATTTATAGTGTAATCTAGATAATTTCTAGTGTACATGCATCTGATCTCTTGGAAAAGCTTTGCAAAATATTCCAGATAACCTCAGCGCTTGAGAGTTTGTGCATCGATTGTCAAATGCCCTGAAATAGATTGGTGCATAGATCTGTAGCTTCCTCACATGCACATCCGGATGCACAAATATACTCCAAGTAAAGGTGGTGAAGATGTGACTGGTGTGAGATGGGCACTCCTAGAGTAGACTAGCTACAAGTCCATGGAAGGCGATATAGGAGCGGGACCAATTTTCCAGCATCAAGATCAAATTTAAAGAAGAGAATTGTGTCTGTATGATTTCTAAGCAATTAGGTGAGACATCTGGGGACTGATCGATGAAGGACCACTTACGCTGCGACACATACCACAGTTCCTTTTTGAGAAGAGAATAGATGCAATATGCAAGGCATTGTGTGCCCCTCGACAAGTCTCTCCCTGTCGTGACCCTAGCTTAGAAAGCAAACAGATAAGGGAACAAATAAACGTGTCGCACCAATGGCTAGTAAGATCAGTTTGAGCGAAATGACCACTCAGGTATGGTAAATAAAGTAGTAGGATCGATCAATGGTGTCACATGTTGAAATCCGAATCACCATTAACCAATGGAAACAAGCGCACTGCCGTACTGTCCTACCAACGCCACTCCTTGTTGATCCCTTTTCCCCACTGAGACCCAATTTAACATTTCCTTTCACACATTACCTTTCACTTCCCCAACAAGCCAACTTTTTGCTAGTGTTGAGCTATATGGTATAATGTGCACATGGCAATAGCACTGGCTCGAATCGGATCGGAAAATATAATTCAGGAAAAAAAATTAGCATATAAAATTCTGGAGATTTTACCACGTTCTGAACTAGAACCGAGAGGTAAGGACCACAAGCAATATATAAGCATGGGAGGGACACTCACCAGCTAAGCAATTCATAGCATGATAGCAAGATGCCGAGCAAAATGTGGCAGTACGATTGCATCTCGATCGCTGGGCTCTAGCTCGCCCCACGGGACCTAGCCAATTGGACCAGTTGCTACAGCTGCACAGACAAGTGGTCAAAGTCAAGTTAGTGTGTCAAGCAATAATTCCTCTAAAAGGGCCTGCTTACTTACTGAGAGTCCATCCATCGACCTCCTCCATGATTCTATGACCTGTGGCCCAGCTTCTGCCCTCTGAAGCAGCAGACAGGATCGATAGCAGTTATACAACAGCTATCTAGCAGCAGTCTACTGCTGGGTTAACTGGAAAGTGACCAAACTGAACGGAACATGCATCCACTGTGCTAGAGCCCAGAACCAGAGAAGCAAAGAAACTAATTTGAGTGATACCTCTCAATGTACTGTGATGGGCATGTAAATCTGACCGTGACTCCATCAAATGGCACTAACTTCACATGCTGCTGCTGAAAAGCGAGGGTCAATCTCCCTTCCACAGTGCAAAAACCTGCAGAGCAATCTACAGTCATGTTGACTTGCACAGGGCGACATTATTCGCGGTGTCAGCTTTCAAGCAAATCATTTTCAGAAAGCAGCTGCCCATTGTGCACAAACTGCGCATCAGCTCATCAAATCAGGTTGCCAGAAAAAAAGTCTAGTATACACCCAAGGAATGCATGCCATTGGTTGAAAAAGAAATGTATTGCAGCAAAAAATGCATTCCCTGATATGGTGTGTACAAGAGTTGCACGATCATCTAGTAGCTAGGACTACTAGCTAGGAGAGGTCACGAGTCACATGTGGAAGCTACTGTTTCAAATTTTCAGCTACATCATGTACTCCCATTTGGTGTAGATAGATCATAGATACAAGCCGCACTAAGGTATTACTACAAAAGAAGAGAAAATTTCACAATCTTACAGACATGTGGCTTTTCCAGACGATTTTTTTCTTCTGAAAATCACTGTCACAGCTTACCATTAATCTTAGGTGGATTGTTCGCGGGTTTCACCCTAAGGCCTGGTTTAGTTCGCAAAATTTTTTTACCAAAAACATCACATCGAATCTTTCGACACCCAAATAAAGCATTAAATATAGATGAAAAAACTAATTGCACAGTTCGCACGGAAATAGCGAGACGAATCTTTTGAGCCTAATTAGTCTATGATTAGCCATAAGTGCTACAGTAACCCACATGTGCTAATGACAGATTAATTAAGCTTAATAAATTCGTCTCGCGGTTTCCAAGTGAACTATGAAATTAGTTTTTTCATTCGTGTCCGAAAACTCCTTCCGATATCCAGTCAAACGTCACAAGAAATATGGAACTGACGGGAACACGGGAACAATATTGTCCCTCCCATGTTAAACCTAAAATAAGTAGCATCCCGTGTTCCTCAATCCTATTTCTCGACCCATGGATCTGGGAACTTGTGGGATAGGTTTCACCCACTTCACCTAACCCTACCATGGCACCACGCCACTATCCCGCATGCTCCTTGCTTCTTTACAGTGGGCTAGGACTAAATTCACCACAAGGTGACCATATTTCACCAAGCCTGGTCTTATAAAATAGGCAGCTAATACTATTGACCATCTGCTGAAGCCTTGGATAAGCTTAGAAGAAATTTTCTGATACTCACATTCACATGTGCAACTATTTTCCTATGCTGCCACAGCATCGGACATGCAACCTAACGTGTGCTTTAGGCTCATAAAAAAGAACAGTACAGGCACAAATAATTCTAGACAGTATATTGATCAGTGTCACATACATAATGTTAGTGAGAGGGAGCTAAAACAAGATGGCTCACCTTGGCATCTTTCTTCAGTCAACCAGAAATGTCCCTTGATTTTCTGGCCCAACTGCAGCAATACAAGCCGGAATAAAAGCCTCTTTGTCTCCTTCCGAGGCTCCAGTCAAGCTTGTTTTAGAAATCCGAGACAAGTTGGTGAGTAGAACAAAATAAGTTTGGGCTAATAGATTGGCCGCAGCTCTCAAGATCCTGGATTGTACTGAAGAAGAACATTCATGTATCAAATGAGAATATAACCTGATAGATAAGTGGGCATGTCGGATACAGATGGATTGATCAATTCAGGTAAAGAAATGGAAGTTCGCCTGCTAATCTTTATTTGCATGTGAGCCATCCATTTCTTTGCATGTATAGAATCTACAGCTGTGGCCACAATACTCGTGATGAAATTAAAAGCTAGCTAGACGGATACATGCACGCACAAATCTTGTGATGATACAAAGAGACAAGGAAAAACAAAAGATAGTCCGAAATCAGATAGTGCGGACATGAAACATGGCGTCACATACTCATAAAAAAGTTGGATGCACACAATACACAGTAGGTCGATGTGCAAACTAGCCAAATTCATGCGCGAAGAACAGTCCAGGTTCTGTCCAAAAAAACAAAACAATTTAATTTTACAATCTAACAAGATCTTGCTAATTAATTTATATTCAAAACAGATATACCGCCACATGTTACTCTGAGACAAACATACCATGGCAGACATGAATACAAGAGAAGTCCAATCCAGTTTTAGGTTTATTGTATGCAGCTATCTGTACTAGGCTGGAAATTAACAAAATGCACACTGACAATCTGGTTGTGTTTGTATACAAAGCTTACACATTGCGAAGTCATGCATCAGCAATAAGAACAAAAATACTTGAAAGGATATTTCACTTGTTAAGGGGATGCTTTAGCAGCATATAAACAAAAATACACAGGGTCTATAATACAAAAAAGGTGTTTCTACCTGACATACACTAAAATCATATAGAAGTGACAAAAAAAATTTCAAGGTCATTATCCTGTGCAATGTTCTAATGTGTGCATAAAATGGCAAACTGCTATATACTACATACCTAAAGGGATGTATAAATACAAAGAGCTTCAAGATTTGGCACTTTTAATGGAAAAATACAAATGAATTATATAAACTATAAGTTGAATTTGAAAGCACGAAACCTCCAATTTAAACTTCGTATATTTGTTGCATAGTGTTACCTGAAGTTGGCATGCAAGCTAAGTCGTGAATGCAGTTCAAAACTAACAATCCATATGGATGAACAAGTCCAATAGAAAGGACATCATAGACACAAACATATTATTATTGCTGTGCACATTCTTCGTCTAAGACGACTGTTACATAGAAGAAATTGACTGGCAGTTCCAGTACCAATGATAACCAAAACCGTAGTGATTGATTATGGGAATGCAGTAGAGATCCATGTAAACACGTTTTAGGCTGTGTTTAACAGTTGCATGCATATTCAAATTCAGTTTGCTGTACCAAATGCTAACTTCAAGATCAATCTTCAGAGCAGCACATGCATGATCAGATGAAAACAGCATACAACATAACAATTCAGGGAGAAGGACAAATGTATATGGATAAAATTCAGGTTGGTGTCCTAGCTAGTTATACACACCCAGAAGTTTCGGACCACATTGCAAGCAAACTACAAGCACAGAGTCATCTCACCCAGAAGTTGTGAGATAACAACCTTGTAATTTATATCCCTTCCTGGGATTGAGCAGCCGCTACGGCATACTGATGGTATTTTACTCCTGATTAATACAAAGGTGTGCAATCCTTCTGCGCATTCCCTAAAAAAATCGACAATCCGTTAAATGCGAATTTCTGTCCAGTTAACCATCAGACTTGATTTTGCTCGAAAACACAATTCGAAAATCGTAGAATCTAGTAGCCAATAGAACGTAATGCTGAGGATTATAGCCAGGAAATTGATCCCACAAATCGGTTCCCTCCACAAATTTCCCAACTCGCGTAAAACAATCTGCGCGCCTTGCAAGAGAAATTGTCGAAACAAATGATCACAGCGAAGGTGGCCACGTTTCGTGAGCCCAGATCAACCCCTATTCGGGGCCTAAAGCAGCAGGCGCTATATTAGCAGAGGCCGCACCGAATGACCGAATTCGCAGCCCCAAACCCGCACAAATCCCCCCATCGAAAACACCAAACTCGCCGCTGCGCAGTGGGCAACCGAAACGAAATCGAGGAGAGAGCGAGGTAGGGAACTGGGAATCTGATAATAAAAACAACGGAAGCGGAAGGGGATGCCTCGAACCTCCCTCCATGCGGGAGCAGAGCGCGCGCGCGCGCGACATCGGGGACAGCGGCGGAGGCGGCTGATCCGCGCCATCGCGACGGTGAGAGGTGCTCCACCTCCATTGCCGCGGCGCGCCACGCCGGAGGCGCTAGGGTTTCGGTTCGCGGCCTTCGGATCGGCGGCGCGCGGCCGCTCGCCGTGGTGGCGGTGGTGCGGGGCGCGCGTTGGCGGCAGAAGAGACGGGACGAGGTGTGTCGGGGAAGAAAGGAAGGGGGAGGTGTGGAGGCGAGGCGACGGGGCGTGGGCTTCTTCGGCTTCGCTTTCTAATGGGCCTCGATGAAGCCCATGTCGGCATGACGGTGTGGCTGCGTGATGGGCATCGCGAGTCTGATCAGGCCCATGTCGCGCCAGGTGATGAGCCGGGCCCCAAGGTTCTGGTCCATAAAAGAGATATGGGCCTCAAGTCCACTCGTAACGGAGCAGTCAGTTAACAAATTAGGATAACAAAGAAATTAGGACTATATATCCTACTAATTTGTTGTGTCTCATTAAGTTTTAAGTTGCTATATTTTAAGATGGAGGAATTAGATTTTATTTTTTTTGAGGATAGATATTTTTGCTAAGGCCCTGTTCGTTCTCTCCGGTTGGAGGGATATTTTCAGTGCACGCGAAACGAGAAAACTTATTAGATTAATTAAGTATTAACTATATTATAAAAACTGAAAAATAGATTATTTATTTTAAAAAAAACAACTTCCACATAGAAACTTTTTGCTAAAGAGTACCATTTAACAATTTTAAAAATATGCTAATGGAAAATGAGAAAGTTGAAGTTTGGAGTTGAGAAAAACAATTGGGCCTAAGAGCAATTGTTTTGTTAATTGTGTTTGTGATCATCGAGACGAAACCATTGTGTTTGCTCCGTTGTTCATAATGGTCCATACATTTTTACATTGTTAGTTTTTTTCTATGAAATTGCCTGATCGAACCAAATCTAAACTAGATTATCAATTACTTCTTATGTCCCATAGTATAAGAAATTTTGAAGGAATGTCACACATTCTGTTACTACGAATCTAGACAGTAATATGATATGTCACATACATCTAAAATCACTTATATTTTGAAACATATGGAGTATTTGAAAACGGAGCATGTTAATTTGCTGAAAAAAAACGATGAAAGGGTGGAGTTGCTCTACAACTCAATCCATGTTTGATTTGAAGCTCTAACCAAACCATCCCTATGTTTCAACATACCTTTACGTATGATGTCGAACTACACTGTTTGTATTTTCCCACGGCAAAGAAGCACGAATGTGAAGACAATAAGCTGCATCTCGACCAGACTACTCCCTAGCCACAAAAACAGTCGAAACTGTTTCAAAATCAAAGCAATCCAACAACCACGTGGAGCCTCTGTGAGTCACTGAATCGGATCAAATGCTGATGTGATGTATCGTATCACTAGTACAAGAAGCTGCATCTGATCCACGTGCTCCAAAAGAAGGCACCTACATTTTTTGTAGATAATGGAATAAATAAATATTTCGGCCTTTACTCAAAAGAGCTACAGCCAATTATTACATAGAAGCGATTGACGAACATAGTGTAGATCTAATTGAATAAAACACACAGCAAGCAACAATAAAGAATCCAGTCTAACAAAGGAGATTACAATTATTGAAATCTATTTGTAAATCTCCACCCATAATTGGCAAAAAGTTACATAACCGTAGTCTCCAGCTTCCGACATGCAACTTTCAGAAACTCTTCATCATCTTCACACATTTGTAGTTGTGCCCAAAACCGAAGCCAATGGGTTACTCTGAAAATGACCTGCATATAGGAAAATGATGGTGATTTGTTAAAAACTATATTGTTCCTACCCAGCCATATTGCCCAACAAATGGCAGAAGCTCCAACAAGTATCAGTTTACTCATTTTCTTATCAACTCCCAAAAGCCACCCATCAAAAATATGAGATACACTAACTGGAAGATTAAATCCAAAAGAAAACTGAACTGCTCTCCACAGAAACTTCGCCAAATGACAATCGAAAAAGAGATGTTGAATAGACTCATTCTTCAAACAAAACGAACACCTCAAGCTACCATTCCAATTACGCCTTGCCAAGTTATCTTTAGTTAACACAACCCCTTTAAGCAAGTACCACATAAAAATTTTAATCTTAAGTGGCATCTTAAGCTTCCAAAGGCACCTACATACTCCACGTTTTACACGAGCTAGCCAGTAGCCACCAGCACGTGCATGCCCTTCCCCTTGATTAACAAGTACTACTCCACTACTTAATTTGTTTATTAATTCGGACAAGTATTGTTACTACTTCTTAATAATTCGGAAAAGTACAGTAGTAGTTGTTTCATGTTTGCTAAGGCAATGTAGTACACTAATAATCTATTAGTATAGTAATAATTAACTTAAGAGTGACATTATTGGGTCCCCTGCAAGGTACTGGTTGTTGGTTAAACATAACTAATTGTGCCGGCCACTAAATGTGTCCATATTGCTTGAGCACCAAGATAGTACGGAAGATTAATCAACGGAGTTGTTAGTTGGAATAGTATAAATATGATCTTCCAATGATCTCATGTTCGGGACTATTTCGTCCACCTGGTCTTCGATCTATATATGCAAATTTAAAAATATGCATCAATTTAACAAACCAAAGCAAATCATTTTGTCATGGCCGACGTGCGAAAAGTCTCATGCGAGGAGGAATTAAGGATCAACGAGACGACGACGGTGGGGCATTGGCAACATGTTACCATATACTCCAGCTTGACAGCTAGTGTGAACGCACGTGTCACGAAATGGAGACATCACTTCCTCCATTCTCCTCCTTTCTTTTTGCAAGTAGAACAGTGACAGCGCCTATGATCTGATATATTCCAGATACTTGAAATTGATAGATTGACTGATAATTTGAAATGTAAATAAATAATATAAATAGAATGTAAATTAAGAAACGCGTAAATAAAAGTTCAAAATCCAAATCACATACACAACACTACGGCATACAAAAACATTGATTAGTACTACGTATATATACTGGGTGTATTGGCCACTTGGCTTCGCCCTAAAATAACAGATTGTATATGATCGGCATCATATAAGTTTGCAAATTAAATCACGACGATGTAGATCGATCCAAGTTAAAGTGAAAAAAAAGAAGAAGAAAATCACCAATGTTATCCGGAAGCAAATGAAGAAAAACTGAACGATCGATGAACTTGACCGGCAGATCGAACAAGACGGCCGAGTTTGACCCGGGAATCAAAGTTGACAATCGAGATGAAGTCAAAGTTGGTGGAGCAGTAACGGATCAGCAGCAAGCAGGTACTACTAGTAGTAGTAGCAACCTAATTATCCAGTCAAACCTCTGGTTAATTAGCAGAGTAGTAAAACGAAGACGACGACGACGACGACCAAGACACAAGAACAAGAAGATTAGTTACTTTTATCTTCGTTGGCACGTGCGGTAACAGCTATAGCTAGCTGATCGACCGATCGGACGTACGGATCAGTTGACATTATCCACGCTTGAATCGAAACGGATGGAGAATGGTTGTCTAAATCAATCTCGGATGATTAGTCAGGGGTTACAGCTAAGCTCAGAACGGAAAACGGTCCTGGACCACTGGAGCCATGCGTGCAGGATGGATATGTTTAGGTCAACGGCGACCGAGACTTTAATTTGCTTCTGATTGTTGGACAAAGTCAACGCTGTTGTCAACTCGATCGTAGGATCGATGTCCAATAACTCCTCTCCTTAATTGGGCGAGCCCGTTATAGAGGTGAAAATCCTATCTTACTATACAGTTATAATCCACTAGTTCTAAAGCTTACCATATAAACATGCCAACTCATCATCCACTAGCAATAATTACATATAAAACTTATGCAAGCATGTAACATCATCTATAATTCATTAAATTCTACAAATCAACATCCAATTATATTCCTTCACATTATTTTTCACAATATTTTTATAACACACACACACACACACACATATATATATATATATATATCATTTTTATAATACTTAACATATATTCATCCATATAATCAAAGTACGGGATATCATATTTCATCTACAAGTTCATACATTGTCTACTTAATTTATTTCTCTCTTAACATATTTTGATAAACCAGTTTTATTTGTTGTTTTACTTTTAGCTCAATTATTAAAAAAAAAGTTACTTACTAATTTCTGCAGCAAAACGCGGGGAATCACCTAGTTAAATTAATGAGTAAAACACATGGTCGTTCTAAATTCGAGAGAAGTGTCACTTTTAGATCTATAAATTTGAAAATTGCACATCTAAATCCATCATTTTGTTATAATAAACCAAGCTAATCCAAACCTTGTTTCACCGGGGATGACCGCCAATGTGGCACTCCATATAGACATCACTTTTGCACTTAGTCCCCTCCGCATCTCAGCGTGGTGGTAATTTTGTAATTAGCCCCTTCCTACAATAACAGCCTGAAATCCAAAAAATAAAAAACCCCAGAACACTTTGTACCTTCCATTCCACATATAGTATTATCAACACATATGTGTGCGTGTGGTTATGTTTAGGGGTGGGCAGAAAAAGACCGAACAAAAAAACCGAAACGAAATGACCGAGACCGAAAAATTCGGTCAGCACTTTCTACTCACCAAATTTCGTTCGGTCAATTCAGTTTTAGGGCTCGGTTAACCGAATTGACCGAAAACCGAAATACAGCATTAGCCCATTAGGCCCAATACCTCCTCAGCAAAAGCAAAACCTTATCCAACCCACCACCACCAGCATCCTCCTCTCCATCCACTGACCACCGGGCCCTTCCCATCCCCATCCCCTCCTCCCTCGTGCTGGTTACGCCGACGGTGACGGTGGAGCTCATGTAGCCGCTCCTCCGCCTCCCGCAGCTGCTCCTCTGCCTCTTGCAGGCCGCCGCCTCCGTGCCACCTCCACCTCCAGCGCTGGCGCCACCTCCACCTCGGCGTCGCCCCATCTCCACTCTCCAGCGGATGTGGAAAAAATTGGTCAGACCGAGACCGAGACCGAATTTATCGGTTCTGAGATTTTTTAGATGAAATTCGGTCCTGAGTTTACAAAAACCGAACTAACCGAAAAACCGAAGACCGAGACTGGATTTTTCAGTCTGCCTGAACGCCCACCCCTAGTTATGTTCATCGGATCGATGAAACATATGTGGTCACCTTGGCACCAAGTATACGTGAATATTTCACGAGCCAAGAAACATAATCACCAAGAAAATACTATGT